ATTGGAAAGAAACTAATATGTTAAGGCAAAGTTTTACAGTAGAGATATACAGATGTTGTATTTGTTATATAATTTTTTAGCCTTGCACAGGTTATAATAGTACACTTTTTCTTGTAGGTGGTTCCTATTAGGACTACTTACCTTCTTTTTTTGCTTTTTTTATCTTTGTTTTACTATGATAAAATTATATTTAGAATAGGTTTTTTCGTTAGTTTTTTGTTATGTTTATTTATTTTTTTTTCTGTCTTGTTCTAGATAGTTTTTTTTTCTCATAAATGTGATTTATATTGTTGTTTCTTGTAGAAGAATAAGAGATCAAATATTCTATACAAACTTAGGTAAAAAAAGTCTTGAAAGATGGAATAGGCAATCCTAAATAGGCCACCACCATTATCTGTTTAAAATCTAGCAGTGCAACAGGGTATACCTAAGACCAAATGGTAACTGGATAGTGCTAGCCTTCAGAGTTTTGAACCATCTGTAGTATAGTATAGAAATTTTTTCTTTGTAATATGGATTATGTTCACTCAAAGCACCTAGCAGGCTTGTCAAAGAATAAAAAAAAAAAAAAAAAAATTTAATGCAGTTCCTAATTTGATGCACAATGATATCTTGTAAACTGTTAATCAAAATTATATGATTTTGGTATCATTCGATTCGTCTCATCAAGACGAATTGAACGATACCAAAATCATTTAGTTCTGATTGATAGTTCTCGAGATACTCCATTTAACCAAAACAGTCCAAAGTAGATGTGCCTAATTTGATGCAGGTAAATGTTTACGATGAATACCATGTGATGTATCGATCAGATTCACAAGATTTTGGTGCCATTTGATTCGTCCCATCGAGATGGTACCAAAATCCTGTGAATCTGATCGATACATCACATGGTATTCATCGTAAACATTTACCTGCGTCAAATTAGGCACTATATCAAATTAGGACTATTTTTTTAAACCAAACTTCAATGAATGATATCTCGTGAGCTAGTGATTGGAATTCGGTGATTTTAGTGTCATTCAATTCGTCTCAATGAGACGAATCGAATGGTACTAAAATCATCCAGTTCTGATCGGTAAGTCACGTGATATTTATCGTAAACTTTATCTGCGTCAAAATAGGAATACTTACCTTATAATTATTTATATAAATTATCTAATAAACAAGATCTCACTTTAATAATTAAAGAATAATAATAAATTTTTAAAAATTTTAAAAAAATATTAAAATAAAAAAGATTTAAATCTATTTGTAATAAAAGTTGTATTAAATTTAATTTAAAAATATTAGCCAAAACAACAAATTAAATAAACAAAGTTTATCATATTGGCGGATTTGTGAAATTTGATAAATAGAAAAGCCCAGGAGTCGTAGTTCTGGTTAAAATTGCAGATCATTTGGCCTGATTTGAAATTATTTGACTTCAAAACTGGCCAAATGGTTTGCAAATTTGACCAGAGTTACGGATCATGGGTTTTTCTATTCAACAAAATTCCACAAATCCGCCGATATGTTTAGTGTTAATTTTAGAAAAGTATATATTAATTTGCTTTAAATATTTTACAAATAATACAGCATTGAGATATTTATATTCATAAACCTTGTAAAATATAGCTTCACGGTGGTTTCAATTTCATTTTGTAACGTTAGCATTTTCATTTTATTTAGATCTGTATGGATCTAAATACGAACGTACAATATATGCCAATGGCACCTTAACACGAAGCGTAAAACAAAATTATTTACTAAAGTATTTCAAATAACTAAAACTTTGCAGCTAAAGGATCTTTATCTTTTATAAGCAATCTAAATTGTTGTCAATCCACGAAATTTTATTGGCTATTTATAGTAGATGCCAATCACTATATACAGTGGATTATAAGACAAATCTCTAACGAATATGATTATTAAATTTGCCAGAGGCAAATGATGTTAGGGAACCAAATTTCAAATTTCTTCTATAGTTTATTCTAACAATTTATTACTATCTATTTGCAATCTCTATTTATATATCTATAAAAACAACTTTTTGTAATAATCAAAAAGTTTATTTGATCAGCTGATTTTGAAAAAAAAATCAACGACTAAACTGAAAATTAGCTTTAGCCGATTTTTTTTTCAATATTGTCCAAGATCACTAATTTGAACATTAGTTTGAATTGACTGTTGAATAGTTTTGGTCTAATTAAGATAATAGACGTGATTTTAGTATATATTCAACAAATAAATTTATAATAGAACTACCGTATAAGAAAATTTGAAAAAAATTTTAACCTCATCAAGAGAACCGTTCAAAAAGATTTCCATCAACGGAACACGTTTAATTCGTTTAGTTTGTCGAGAAGGCGTTTGTACAACTTTTGTTCGTCGTCGTCGTCGCCAAATGTTTCCTCCAGGTGAGCCAGCACGTGAAAATATTCTATTGTCCGGGTCATAATTTTCTTTATTTTCGGAGAAGTTAGAGTTGATGGAAATCATTTTTTACCGTTTATTATAGATTATTATAGATTATTATAGATTATATTATAGATTGGTATTTGGGTTAAGGCTTTTCAAATCTGGAGGAAACTTAAAAACCTTTTTCGCGTTTCAACTGTATGCGTAGAAATCATGTAGATCATATATTTGTGTCTACGGATTAATCCTAGGCCTCCTGGTCTACGTTAGCCAATCACATAAAATTTTCTTTAAAATGAACCGGTTCCACGAAAACGTGATTTCTTTTCGTGACATGATTGAATAATGCTTTATGATTGGCTATATAACCTAACATGTGATAGTTGATTATAATTTTAAAGGTTTTCGCTACGCCAACCAAGTAATTTTCTAACGAGTTTTAAACTTATTGTTACCTTTTTGGTAAGTTAACAATCTTTAGGATTCATTTATTACATAACTTATGTTTCAATAATTATAATACAGAGAAATCTTTTTAAATAATGTCGCGGATGATCGTGAAATTCCAATTTTTAAAATTTTTTGGGGATATATTCTTTTAGGCTTTTTTTTGAATCCGGACTAGTATTTAGGGTTAGGGTTTATGATAAAAGAGAATAAGTAGGTTTTGTTAGGGTTGTGAGGGCTTATATTTTAAATTAAGGCCCTAGATTTCACGATGATCCGATTTCACCATAATCCGCGACAAATAATAATGAATGAATATTCATATTTCAACTTTAGAACAATAATTTTTTAATCTTTAAAAAGAACGTAAAATGAATCAACTTATTTGTTATTCTTCATATAAGCACTAAAAACCAAAAGTGGTTTGCGTTTCTTTTATAAATATTACTGTATTAAAGCCTATTTAGTTACTCTTTAATTAGGAATTTAATGTCGGTTATCGCACATCATTTATATACAGTATTACTGTATATATAGGTTAAAACCCGTTTCTGAACGAAATATATGTAATTAAGACGAATCCCAGAATACAAAATACTTAAAGCTTTGTTCAATTCTATAATATTTTGAACGGTTGTTTTTTTTTTTTTTCTTTTTTTTTTTTAAAAAAAAAAGTCCGATCACGAAAAAGCTGACTTCTATCTTTCGCGTTCTAATAAAAAATATAAAGCTTCCCTAACACCAGAATTCTAACATCCTAGCCTTAACGAAACATATATAGTTTTCAGGATTATCACGTGTTCTGAAAATCGATCCTACACTTCTTGGTTAAAGAGATTATTTAAAAAAAACCGGTAAGGTCCGGAGCAGACCTTTACGTAAAGAAACAGCTAGTACAGAAAAAAAAAGTGAGAAATTTGCACTTTGAACTTTATTTAGAAGCTCTATGCTATTTTATTCGTTATAGGGTAAGTTTTATATAATAAACTCTTTATATCGCATCGAGCATAATTGTGTCGAAACTATAAGCCCATCTCTAGATTAGAGTTTTTTAGCAAAATTTTAACTGATTAGAATTTTCTTGATCAATTAATAGAAACAAACTTTCACACGTTCAACATTGCAAGAAGTCTGAGACTTAATTCGTAAAATTTAGCGCTTTAAAGCTTAATAATTTTTTAATGCATCAGCTCAATGCCAGAGATAAATTTAAAAAGTTTATCGATTTCTTGAGCTGATGCATTTTTTAATGAGATTCTAAATTTGCATAACATAAAGCCATAATATGAATTCGGACAGGTGATATCCGCTAATTAGCATTAAGATTCTTAGAGCGATGCATCAAAAATTTTCAAGCATTTAACCTTCAGTTACAGACGTTTTTGATATTGCTCAAAAGTAATGAAAAATTTATCATAATGACAAAGCAATTCTTTCTTTTTGTTCTTGTACTCTTGATCACAACTCCTTATACTTTGGCTATACCATACGATAGACGTAGTTTCCTGAAGAACCAAGGACCAACAATATACTATGAAGATCCAATTGAAAAAATTACGTCAGCTGAAGCAGCACAAGTAAATCAACTTGAAATCACTGCCCTAAACGCCGACGAAGCAGCCGCGAGCGCTGATAATGAAGCATTCACAGCTTTCATTACAAGACGCAAATTTATTCCAGAATGAAATCACACTATAAAAGATGCAAAAGTTTTTTTGATTTGTACATATATAGCAATTTTGAATTAGTATTAAAGGATTAATTAGTGACTAACTTTTATTTAATGAATTGTTTAAATTTGAACTTTACATAGATTTTTTAATTATCGCTATGTTTTTTGTTACATCTATTTCTACAACTTACACTGCTTTACATACGAGTATATGTTACGATCACCGCTATTGTAAGATTAGCTTTAAATCGAGTGCGAAACGTGCTGTTGGCGAAAATTGACATTACAGCATATCGATGTTTCAATAACGCGTTTGTTTATATATGTTTTTAGTTTTAGAAAATTCATTAAGTTCACATCAAAATAAAAAATAAAATAATACAGTATACAGTATAAAAATTAAAAATCTGAAAGTATAGACAAATTTACTTAGCATTAATTAGGATTATTAAATATAAACTTTATTTATCGATAAATTTAGAATGTCTGATAAATTTCTATATCGATAAAGAAATTATTTCTTTGAACATTTATAGTCAGTAGTGGATAATGATAACCATATACATACATATATCATGTCTTATTTCAATATTAAAAAGTCAAATGGATACTAATTCGCTTCGTTTACATTTGAATATGTTTAAAAATTACAATAATGAAGCGATATTTAATATGGCAAAATTTTCGCTTCAAGAAAATTTGCCCACCGCTATCTTGAAAAATAGCTCTTCATTATATGATATATTATTTATAATGCTCAATATTTGTAAATTGAATCAAAATCTTATACTATTCTACTTACAGACTTACCTGCTACACGTCAAGCAATGAATCAATTAACTTTATTGTATTTATATTTAGCAGA